AACACACAAAACAGTAATGCAAGTTAAGTCTTAATGTAGTTCATGTCACATTCAGTGTTGTTACACAGGATATTTCCTTGGTATAAGTTTAAAATAAATATAATTTAGAGTATGTACTTGCAACATGTAAAAAAAATTGTAATCCTTGTTCTTGATTGGACAGTTAATTTTTTTGTTATAATCTATACAGTATTGCACATATTTTACTTAAGCTCATATTTCAAACTCAGGTTTCTAGTACCTGCAGCGCCCACTCAAAAGGCCTCTGGTTGCACAATACTGAGCGGGAACTGGGGTGTACAGCTATTTGTTTGATGTCAAACTATTACATATTTAGGGCTACAATGTGTTACCATTTAAATAAATATAATAATACTTATCATAATAAAAAAACTTGACAGAAATGTTGCAGGGAAATGTCAATATCAATGTAATTTCAAACTATGGGTGCGTTCATAAATTCACTCTGGCTATCTTTCAGAGCACTCTCATCTGAGTGTGCCAGAGCGCAGAATAACTGATGAATTGATGAATGCTCAACACCCATTGAATATGGCCGGTGTCAGTAAACATCGGCAAAAAAGCTTAATTAAATTGTTGCCAGCAGCACAGTTACAGTCACCAATGCTCTGGATAACATGAAAACGGCCTAACCAGCTCTGCTAGGGCAAGTAAAATGGTCAGAGTGAGGTGTTCTCTCATTTGTCTCTGGAAGTAGCTAGCAAGCTAGCAAACTTTAGCCAGTTAGCTTGGGTGCTTGACTGCCGTTGTGAGGTCAGAACGCTCGGATCAACCCTACTCCTTGGCCAGAGCGTCCAGTGTGCGCTCTAAAACTCCGAGAGCAAAACGATCTGAATTTACAAAACAGACAATCTGACAAAGCTCTGAATTTACGGACGCCCAGAGCGCACTCTGAGCGCTCTCTGGCACTCCACAGTGAATTTACAAACGCACCCTATGTATATCTTCAGGTATTTTCTGATGTAATAGAAATGTAATGTAACATTCATGTAACACGTAACAATGTTGACTGCCAACTTATACACGTCATACCACAATCATGATTGCCCTCAATAATTACATTCTTGTTCAACTGATTTCAAATACCTACTTTAATATATTGAGATTACATTTTGGTGTGTCACATACCGAAACCAGCAACTACTATGAACTAGTCCAGTCACAAAGTTAGCCCTAGTTCAAACACTGCTCTATCGCCGCACCAAACTAAAAAATGTCACTTTCTCTTTGGAAGAGTGCGGTCTGAAATCATGCAGTGCGCCTTGTCTGACTTTTAACTATAGGTCGGCAGCCTCTCCCGCTCTTTCGGAGCGGTGCGTGTGACGCGTGTCTCCGTTTCATGCAGCGCGCAAGAGCAATTCTTCCACTGTCGTGAGAAATGGTCATGCATATTCAGATGTTAATTGCATGCAAATAAAAGGTTGCTTCGCTACCACCCACAACAAAAGCACAATCATGGCCTCTGATTCACAGGTTGTTGGTCATGTTAGAACAGACCCAGGGACTGTTTCTGTGGCGGCAGAAACGCTAAGGCTCATGGTTAGTATAGTTTTTGGTGCTCTTTGAAACCAGGAACAGACGGCAAAAACAACTTCTCAACGCGGGAAACTCTTTTCACGCCACTTCGATGACTTTTTCGTAGCAGGTTAGGAGAACTTACGCAGCAGGGTAGGAGACTGAGGAAAAGGGTTAGCGTTAGCGAAAATGCTTGCCTAATCTGGTACGAAAATCACTTTAGAATGTGTCTCTTCTCAGCACAGCGCTTGAAACATTCATAAATGATGGGCACTACATCAATGTACAGAATTATTTGCAATCTCGGGAGAAAATAGAACATCTACGTTGCACAGTAATTTCGCTAAAGCCAACAGATCTCATGGTTTATTTTAGGTATGAGGAGACTGGGAGACAGGAAATCTGAAGACACCGTACGTTAACCGAGTAGGGATGGGCATGAGTAATTGAGTACTCAAACGGACGTCAAAGCTCAATCTTTAACAAGAGATCACATTTTTTTCCAAATACTGTAAAACTATTTGGTTGAATGTGCTTTGTGGCTGCCCAAACGGGCAAGTGAAATTGTGTCTTTAGACAACGTTAATTTGCCTTGACTCTTGTGTTCCATATGAACATGTGCATTTGCAAGGCACAACAAAAAAGAAACCAAGCATCACACCTTTCTTCTCCCCAAATTCCCTTTCCCCTCCATGTTTCATTCACTCAATTGCGTTCTGACCGCTCCTTCCACACAAGCGTGCTGAGTGCGCACACAAGCTCCCGTTAGGCCTACAGCAGTGGTGGAAAAAGTACCCAATTGTCATACTTGAGTAAAAGTAAAGATACCTTAATAGAAAATGACTCAAGTAAAAGTGAAAGTCACCCAGTAAAATACTACTTGAGTAAAAGTCTAAAAGTATTTGGTTTCAAACATATTTAAGTATTAAAAGTAAATGTAATTGCCAAAATGTACTTAAGTATGAAAAGTATAAATCATTTAAAATTCCTTATATTAAGCAAACCAGACGGCACAATTGTCTTGTGTTTTTATTTACGGATTGCTAGGGGCACACTTCAACACTCAGACATTTACAAATGAAGCATTTGTGTTTAGTGAGTCTGCCAGATAAGAGGCAGTAGGGATGACCAGGGATGTTCTCTTGAGTGTGTGAATTTAGCATTTTTCCTGCCCTGCTAAGCATTCAAAATGTAACAAATACTTTTGGGTGTCAGGGAAAATGTATGGGGTAAAAAGTACATCATTTTCTTTAGGAATGTAGTGAAGTAAAAGTAGTCAAAAATATAAATAAAGTAAATTACAGATACACCAAAAAACTACTTAAGTAGTACTTTGAAGTATTTTTACTTAAGTACCTTACACCACTGGCCTACAGAAATAAATGCCTGTAAATACTTATCTAACGGATTGGATACACAAGCTACATTCCTTGCAAAATGAAGACAGTTTTATCACAAATTCAAAATGGACTGGTGTTCCAGCAACGAGCTGCAGTTTTGGAATAATTGTTTCCCGTCTATTTTCCGCTTAAGCTACTTTGCGAACTGCTAGTGCCATTTAGAATTGGTTAGCCTAGGCTATAACCCCCCTAAACATAGACAGGTTCCACACTTAACATATGTAAAAACATTATCAAACTAAAGACAAAGAGCGTATTTTCATCAGAATAAATAAGTATATGCCTACTCACCAAACAGATGTTGTGGCCGTAATTCATAACCATGCAGTGTTCAATGTGAAATTGTTCATCCATTTAGAAAATTCCAAAAGAACAGGCAGAATAAACTACATTGAACGTCTGTATATCGAAAAGACAGATTTTAGTTTGTAAAAGTTTTAGTAAAAAAATTTGACTCACCAATTTGAGCCCCGTTTCAAATTATCACTGACAATAACTGTTCCAGACACGCAATGCGCATCACTTCACACTGGTAACATTTTTCAATTGGAAAAATATTCTGTTCCATTTTATAATGTTTTTTTTTTTACTATGAAATCGATGTTTTGACTGTGATAAGGGCTCGGGAAATAAGAGCGTCTTGTCTGCTAAATTAACAAAAGGCTAAGCCATTACACAGCCATAGGGATCTACAAGCAAACGCCAATGCTGAGGTTACTGCCTTTTTGAAGATTGTGTTCCATAATATAACCAGTTGATATTACGGTTTCAATAAATTCATCTTAAATGGCACTTGCATTTTTATTGTTTGAATATATTTGGGGCGATTAGGATTTGTAATGTGTTATGGTTATGATAAATTAGGCATTGTTGCGATCTGTTGGCATATAGATGAATGCACTTTTCTTTTCCTTCTAAAAATATTTTTTTATTTTATTTGAGTACTCGAAAAAAAGAGTACTCGAACGTTCAAAAAATGTCAAATGCCCATCCCTATAACTGAGACTCATTATACCGGTCATCCTCACCGTTTCAAACATTAACTTCCACGCTGCATAGGTGTGGGAGTCGTCTTTCTTTGTCCTTTTAGTGCAATAATTTTTTTTTTAAACAAGAGGTGTTGTTATGCCTGAATTTGACCCAAAACCAACAAGGAAGTCTGTAGTGTTGAGAGCGGTTGTATGAAACCAATCAGTACGTCAACTCACTCTTAATATCTATTCAGTTAGACTCACCAAAGTGCAGCGTCTGAACTGTGCGTTAGCCTCTCAGCTCTGTACAAGGACTGTTATGGCTAAAGGTTACATCATTCTCCTTTCTTTTTTTTCTTTTCTGTAACACTGCAAACTCCTGAAGAGGCTCTACATCTACAGGCTTGTTTGGGACCTCACCTATGGCGACCTACAGTACCGACACATACCGTCCAATCCTCTCAGCCCAACAGTAATCTCATTCTGCATCTGATGATGTCAGTGCCATAAAGCTTCCTTCCGGTTAACATGTGAGTAGAGTGAATCTATATTTCAGATGCCAGCTCATTCATTAAAATGTGAAAAGTGTAATGTGAAAGTAAGGGGACTCAAATATTGATAAATGTATACATGTAAAAATCTCTACATATTTTGCTAGATATGATAACGGACATGAAATTACAAGAGGACTGACATACATTAAAAAAGGCACACATATTGAGATGTGCTTTAGTAGTGATTACTAAACTGCAAATGACCAAGTATCAAACGTTTTGCAGGTTTAAAGCCATACCCTCAAGAGCCACATCAAAAGGTATGTAGAACTTTTGTAACATATTAAAATAATGAGATAGACGTCCCAGCATGACCACCAAATCCGAAGGCTTAAAACACATTTGGTTCCAGCATCGGTTTCTGTACGGACAGCACATTTTTATTGTAAACATTTAGTAAAAAGATTTCCGCTTAGGAATGTACTGCATTAGTTTTAAAACACAAACAAGCACGCATACACACAATCAAACGCACGCAAACAAGCACGCATACACACAATCACACACATTCTAGGTCAAGTTTCTAAGGGGGCTTGTGCTCAAGTGCTATTTCCTTGCTCTTGTTCAAATAACAGCATGGCGAGCTGGGAACGGGATCCCAGGCCATCCAGGTTGCTCTGGACACACCTGTGGTAGATGTCCTCACTAAGCTGCGGGTTACAGGCCTGGTAGCGGTACTTCTGGTGCAGAGCCGGCTCCACAGCCCTGAACACATGAAGGGTGGAGTACTTGACAAACATGTCGTAGATATCCAAGGTCTCCAGGATCTCCTCGTTCTCCTGCACGTCGGAGGCCATGCGTGTGCGCGTCACCATATAGTCCGAGTTGTAGAAGCACGCCTCCTCAAAAGAACTGCGGTCAAAGTGTCCGGCGTCCTTGACCAGGTCTACTGTGGGTGGGGGCTCCTGGTTGTGGAAGGCGATGTCTGGGTTGTAGTCCTGGAAGTGGATTGGGAAGAATACCTGCCAGTTGTTGATGGAGTTCATGCGGCAACGGTTGAGGAACTCTGAGTTGATGTTGGTGTTGACGTTCGTGATGAAGAACAGCGTGTCTACTGGGTGCTTCTTGGAGATGATGTCCATGAATTTGATTTGAGAAGGGGTTTCGGTCTTGACACTTATCCACAGGATCTTCACTGCCGGATACTTGCGTTCGTAGGCATTGATCTGGGCTTTAACACTGGAGAATATGTCATTCTGGTTGACCTGCTGGGCCTCGAATGGGTCGTAGATAAACAGTAAAGTCAAGATGGCGTTTTCACTGGTCTCAAACAAATTTGCAGCAAACACTTCAAGAAAATGGTTGACGGCGCCCCGATCCTGAAAGGTCAGTGGTAAGATGATATGAACCCTGGTGGCCTCTGTGACGTAAGGCATGGGGATGATCTCGATGCGACTCAGAGGACGCACCAGGTGGACCCTCTTGGTGATGGAGCGACTGCGGCCTTTCTGGTTGACTACCTCCAGCTGCAGGTCCAGGGTGTACTCCATGCCCCGAGTGGGGTCAAAGCGCCGGTAGCCGTTGATCAGCTGCTGCTTCTTCAGGTGGAGGACAGGCTTGTACTTCTTGTTCAGCTCCCCCATGGCTATCTCGATGATGGCGGCCACGTCCAACCGATCAATGCCACGCAGTTCACACTTGGGGGAGCCGTCAATGCATGAATACACTTGCTCCTCTGTGAAGTAGTCCCATCGGAGGACCTCAAAACGAGACTTAGGCTCAAACGGAGGATTGATCCCAATGGGCCACTGGGAGCTCCGGTTGCCAGCAAAAGCCACTTTGCTCACATTCTTTATCTCTGCCTGTGGACACATGAGGAGATGTACACATATAGTCATAAGCTGACAGTGATACTGTACTGCTACAATTAAAGAGATTCTCCAGTACCTTTGTATATGTTTTAGCCAGTAGTTCTGAAAGTAGTGCTCACGAGCCAAAAGTGGTCTCAGAAAATTGCATACTACGTCACATATGTGCAGATATGTGCACAACGTTATTGCTCTCTCTCCCTCTCTGCTGTGTACATCTTGCTAGCTGTCACTCAAATGGCGAGGGGCTGAATCTCATTGGCTTGAACTCAAATTGCTAGACGGCTGGCCCACGTGTTGAAAAATGTAGGGAAAATGGCGCCGCTAAGCTTCCAGAAAACTTTCAAACTAGGGAATTCTGCTCATAGATTACGCATGAATGAACTACACATCGACTCATCCAGCCCAAAGCGGGAGGTTTAAAAAAAACACTTACTAGTTGGCAAGGTTCCTGAGCATGTCTTTAAAAAGATAATTATGTCCAACCAAGAGAGTGGAGTCATTCACAAAACAAATATTCGACTTAAATAAATAAGCCTTCAGCGCTGGATGTTAAATGAAAACAGACAGGGAGACTGACTATGTCGGTGTTCACTGAACAAAGGATATTTTGTGGTGTTCAGGATCAGATCGTTTACCTGCAGCTTCTCGATCTCATCGTATGTCCTCTGAAGTTCGAGTTCAGTGAAGTGTTTGTGTAGTCTGTACATCTGCTCAGGGTCAGACACCGGGTGGACAGTCAAGGCATTCTTAAACTGCACATTCTCCACCTTACTCGGATCTGAGTTCTTGCCCATCTCGTAACGGTAGTACTGCAGCCCCTGAAAACAAAAAATGTATATACATTTAGCAATGTGGTATCATGGGAAATTGGGTGAAAACAAACAGAAGACTGAGTTATAACTCTTTGGGCTCCATTTTAACAAATCTAACTCAGTGGTAAATCTCAGTGCTGTCAGTAATGCTATATTCTTGCTATTTTCACAGTGGGAATTATGGCCGCAGTAGCTGGTGGTGGTGTGAAAGGGCTGGGTTTTGATGAATAAATAAATAGGTGTGTCAAGGCTTGACCCCTCACTGGCCAATCAGAATATGCTCCATGGCTAAATATGTGGTTGCTTCAAGTTGTGTATTTACAGTCTTTTATATATTGCGTTGTCATCAACTCTGATTTGAATGTTAGTTTGTTATAGCCTATATAGCCTACAGAAACAAAATAAAATGTATGTAGGCCTGTCCCATATTTGCTAAACATGTTGAACATGTTTGCAGGGCACATTGTTCTAAGAAGTAATTGCACGGCTTCAATATGGAAATATATTGTTTAACATAGCATTTGCATTGATATAGGGGCTAGGCCAACTGTAAATTGCATTGTCATCCATGTCTGAACCATGGACATGCCAAACGTTGTCAATAAGCAAGATTAAAGTCACTATTGATACGGCTTAAAAAGAGTGAATAATTATAATCGAAACAACTTGTTTTAAATAGGCTGTCTAAATATATAGTTACAGCCTGAATAGGTTTGCGCTCCCGCTCTCAAGATCCTGTCATTACCAACCATGTTACCGCAAAGGCCTGCTCTTCGTTGGTCTTAAATCTCACCATTTGTGCTCCATGACATTTTCATTTTTGCACTTGTTTTTGAGGACACACCTCAAATATTGCTACCCCTGCCACCTCAGCGCAAGCCTGCCGAACCTCACGCAAGGGGTAAAAAAAGAAATATTTGACATGCCGAAATTACCAACTAACATGCGTTTGACACTTGCGCCGCCTTAGCGCCTGCCGGAAATACAGCCCTGTGTATTATTTACTAGTGACGGTTGAACGCTGATAGAATTGTTTACTTGAAAATGGATAGGAAGCTTTCCTATCTATTTGGATGGAGTATATTAATGTAAGGGGAGACAAGGGGTGCTCTCGAAGAGAAGCAGACAAGGTATGAAAAAAAACTAAGAGGATGTGTCAGTGTTATCTGACAGTGAATCAGTTCAAGTTCACCTAAGGCTATTAGTCATCTTTCCTCACTAAAACCGCATTTCAGAGTGATATAGACGTTTAGCCCTGATGATGCTCCACTATCACACATTGGTCCTCTTTCCTTAAATGGCTGTTTCACTAGCTGTTTCCAAACACATTAACCCTTATGACCGTATCAGTCATCACAAAAGGGGGAGTATGGCTATTGCCGCAAGGTTTCTTTTTGAGCAACAACTTTCTCTGTACTAAGAGTTCCAACAACCATTTTATTTAGGATCCTAACAACATGTAAGAGTACAGCACTTTAGATTGTATTTTCTCAATGAATTAAATAGAATACACACATCCCACTGGTTCAAATGCTCTGCAAGGCCCTCCAGTGGGTGGTGAAGACAGCCCAGTACATCACTAGGACCGTGCTTCCACCCATCCAGGACATCTACTCAAAACAGTGCCTAAGGAAGGCACGCAGCATCATCAAGGACCCCACACACCAGATGTATCGGAGCATGAGGTCTGATACCAACAGGTTCAGAGACAGTTTCTATCTACAAGCCATCAGACTGCTGAACACTTGAACTGAACTGACCACCTGCTCTAATTCTCCGCACTTTAGCACACATCACAACTGCTACCAGACTCTTATTATACTGCTAAATGTATACACTTTCTCCCCATTCTCCCCTCCCCCAATACAAGTGTAAATATTGTACTAAAAACAGTGACTTCCTGTATTATACTTATGCTAAAACGTTTTATATTCTGCCATTTTACTTTATGTTTGTATTCTTATTCTTTTAGTATTTCTTATTGCTGTTGCATTGTCGAGAAGGAACCTGCAAGTAAACATTTTGTTGGACGATGTATACCTTGCGTATCCCGTACTTACGACTAATAAAACAACTTCTGTCCAAACAATTAATGTTTAACAAACTTATGGAAATGGCTTCATAGGGAAAAACACTACTGGAATGTATGGTGTCAGTGTACGAATAACACCTAAATGACCATAAGTAATAAGACTCCACTTAAAGATGCACTATGCAGAAGTCACGCTGCCATTTCCTGGTTGCAAAAATTCTAATTGTTTGCCTAATTTCAGTTTGTGACAAAACAAGCAAGTATAGTGTAGAGCAGGGTTCTTCAATTCCGGTCCTGGAGGGCCGAAACACCTCTGTTTTTCATCCTCTCCTTCTAATCAGGGGCTAAGTCAGACCTGGGACACCAGGTGAGTGCTATTAACTACCAGGTAGAAATAAAAAACAGGAGTGTTTCGGCCCTCCAGGACCGGAATTGAAGAACCCTGGTGTAGAGAATCATTGTACCATCTAAACCGTCATGAAATATATTTTCCATAAACAAAAAATATTGTATTTTTCAGCTGTTTGAAGCTAGTGTACAAAGCAGAAAGTAAAAGAAGCAAAAATGCAACTTAAGCACGGAAATCATAGAAATAGAGCACATAGAACAGATCTCCCGCTTCTTAGATTTGCTTTCAATGAGAATGACAGATCTATAACACACATTTACGTGAATTTGGTCAGGTCGCCCAAAAAGATACATATTACAGCTTTAATCTAAAGAGACAACCAATTAGGATAAACGTGAGTTGTACTTCCTCATAACACTCTCCAATGTTTTTTCTTCTGACTTTTCCCCTATTTGTTGTGCTGGCCCTGAGGAAAGATGACCACGCAGCAGTGAAACAGGCCCTCTGTTTCTGTTCCAATACAGACTCTTAAACAAGATGGTTTCCTGCTCAAATGCCCGACCACAGGAGAAAAAATGGAAGCCCAAGTAAAGAGGGTATAGAAGGTTACATGCCACAGAAAAAAGTTTAGGGAAACTCAAACTGTCTTGAATTAACTACTCATTATGTTTTTAAAAAGTTATAAAATAGTATTGCGGTAGAATGGTGTATAACTGGTGATATTGTTGGAACAAATTCAGGTGCAATGTGCATGCGGCCACACTTTGAGCCAAAAAGGGTAGCATATACAAACAGATTAAATCAATGTAGTTAGCTAAGGTGCACAGTCTTTAAACTGTCACTTGGAAAAGCAGTGTGACTGTGACAGGGCTCCACTGGGGCCCTGACTGTCAGTGCAGAACAGGAGAAGCAAAGCTCCCTGTCACAGAAGAGAGGACAAGTACCCTCAGGGGCCACAGTGTGAAGAGAGACAAACAGTCAACTTTCTGTCTCTATAGAGAACGTAGTGCTAAAACACTGATGGGTGTTAGAACTATGTTTTAGCACTACTATAGTGCAACATACCTTATTCTATAGAGGTCACTAGTATATAATTTAAAATATACTTTTTCACGACAAATGTAGATTGTAAAGAAAGTGTTCGAACATGAGGCTGGTAGATCTTGAAAGATGGATCTTATATGTTGATGTTGTAGTATACGGTCTTCGTGTTTACCATATGGTGTGTGTGTGTCAAGCTTTTACTGAGCAGGAACCAGCCTACTACACCGACGGATAATGAGTTATGTTGGCAGGCAGTGTAAAGTTTATGAGGCTTCATAAAGTCAGGCTCTATTTCATCTTTTTGGGGGAGATGCCAGTGAAAGGTAGTGGACTTGTGGTTTCAATTCAGAGCAGACCTGGGCCAAATACACATGTTAAATACTTGAACGTCCACTTTTGTGACTATACATCGGTTCTATTGTACTGGACGAACTAAATCAAGTGCAGCTCAAGTATTTGACATATGATGTATTCAACCCAGGTCTGGTTTGTTGACACAAGAAACATTCACTTCCTGAGAAACACAGGGATGCTTTCTCGGGCACAGATTAAGCCTAGTCATGGACTAAAAAACACTGAATGGAGAATCTCCATTAAACATGCTTCTTATTCTAGGCCTAGGACTAGGCCTAATCTATGTCCGGGAAACAGTCTCTTGGACAAAGGGACCATAAACCCATGGAACAGCACTCCCTTCATGGAACTCTTCTGTACAAGACAGTAATAATACATAGCCTACCTCATGCTCATCCACACAGTTTGTGTTGACATAATCAATGATGCATCTGCCCAGCCATTCGTCAGGCCTGGCACTCAGGATGTCATTCCTACAGTTCTCCAGGAAGGGTTTGAGCCGGAGCAGCAGGGTACGGGACAGGAGGTATCCGAACCCACCATAGCAGTACCTCCCCTCCATCTCCCCACCTATAAACTCCTCAGGACTTCCCATGTAAAGCTCCCGGTCCATGCTCAGGTGAGCCACCAGCTGTTTGATCCTGTCTGCCTCCGTATAGGTGTCGTCCTGGGCTAGATAGAACCAGTCATACTCATTGATATAGTGCTCTAAGATGTACTTGATGGTCTGGAACATGTTCCAAATGAGCCTCTCGTCCCCATGGGTGACCACGAACATGCCGTGGGGCACTTTGCGGTTGCGCATGCCGGTGAAGAAGACCAGGGCGTCCAGGTGGTGGCTGATGGTGCGGTTCACGGCCACTCCCAGTGTGTTGATGGTGTTTTTGGATGTCAGGATCCCTACAAAGAGGCGCTCCCGGATCCCCAGTTCTGTACTGATGTACTTAGCCCTGGAAAGCATACACACACATTAAAGCGGCAATCCTTAATTGAAACATTAACAGTGTACTCCCCGCCACAGTTTCAGTAAAAAGATGAGGGATTGGGCTGGAGAAATGGAACCACTCAAATCCATAGAAAACGCTATGATGCAAGGACTGATCATCCACAATATCAAAATAATAGTGAAGTGGTTGTTTACATTTACTTTGTTTACAAATATTAGAGTAAAACAAGCTTATATTTTGGGTTCTGATGGGGTACGACAGTTGAACTAAGCTCATGAGGCATTTACAGTGAGGGGAAAAAGTATTTGATCCCCTGCTGATTTTGTACGTTTGCCCACTGACAAAGACATGATCAGTCTATCATTTTAATTGTAGGTTTATTTGAACAGTGAGAGACAGAATAACAAACAAAAAATCCAGAAAAACGCATGTAAATTTTTTTAATAAATTGATTTGCATTTTAATGAGGGAAATAAGTAGTTGACCCCTCTGCAAAACATGACTTAGTACTTGGTGGGAAAACCCTTGTTGGCAATCACAGAGGTCAGACGTTTCTTGTAGTTGGCCACCAGGATTGCACACATCTCAGGAGGGATCTTGTTCCACTCCTCTTTGCAGATATTTTCCGTCATTAAGGTTGAGGCTGACGTTTGGCAACTCGAACCTTCAGCTCCCTCCACAGATTTTCTATGGGATTAAGGTCTGGAGACTGGCTAGGCCACTCCAGGACCTTAATGTGCTTCTTCTTGAGCCACTCCTTTGTTACCTTGGCCGTGTGTTTTGGGTCATTGTCATGCTGGAATACCCATCCACGACCCATTTTCAATGCCCTGGCTGAGGGAAGGTAGTTCTCACCCAAGATTTGACGGTACATGGCCCCGACCATCGTCCCTTTGATGCGGTGAAGTGGTCCTGTCCCCTTAGCAGAAAAACACCCCCAAAGCATAATGTTTCCACCTCCATGTTTGACGGTGGGGATGGTGTTCTTGGGGGTCATAGGCAGCATTCCTCCTCCTCCAAACACGGCGAGTTGAGTTGATACCAAAGAGCTCGATTTTGGTCTCATCTGACCACAACACTTTCACCCAGTTCTCCTCTGAATCATTCAGATGTTCATTGGCAAACTTCAGACGGCCCTGTATATGTGCTTTCTTGAGCAGGGGGACCTTGCGGGCGCTGCAGGATTTCAGTCCTTCACGGCGTAGTGTGTTACTAATTGTTTTCTTGGTGACTATGGTCCCAGCTGCCTTGAGATCATTGACAAGATCCTCCCGTGTAGTTCTGGGCTGATTCCTCACCGTTCTCATGGTCATTGCAACTCCACGAGGTGAGATCTTGCATGGAGCCCCAGGCCGAGGGAGATTGACAGTTATTTTGTGTTTCTTCCATTTGCGAATAATCGCACCAACTGTTGTCACCTTCTCACCAAGCTGCTTGGCGATGGTCTTGTAGCCCATTCTAGCCTTGTGTAGGTCTACAATCTTGTCCTTGACATCCTTGGAGAGCTCTTTGGTCTTGGCCATGGTGGAGAGTTTGGAATCTGATTGATTAATTGCTTCTGTGGACAGGTGTCTTTTATACAGGTAACAAGCTGAGATTAGGAGCACTCCCTTTAAGAGTGTGCTCCTAATCTCAGCTCATTACCTGTATAAAAGACACCTGGGAGCCAGAAATCTTTCTGATTGAGAGGGGGTCAAATACTTATTTCCCTTATTAAAATGCAAATCAATTTATAACATTTTTGAAATGCTTGATTTTGTTGTTGTTATTCTGTCTCTCACTGTTCAAATAAACCTACCATTACAATTATAGACAGTTTTTTTGTCAGTGGGCAAATGTACAAAATCAGCAGGGGATCAAATACTTTTTTCCCCTCACTGTATGTTATATTCTTCAAGAATCAAATGGGTACATATCATCCAAAAATGGATGTAGCAACTAAGGAGTGCCCCTTTAAGTGATTGCTGCTATTTTCAATGTATACAAAAACATACTATACAGAGATTTTTACATACATTTACAGTGCCTTGCAAAAGTATTCAGAACCCTTGGATTTCTTCACATTTTATTGTGTTACAAAGTGGTATTACAATTGAATTGTAATTTTTTGTCAACAATTTACACAAAATACTCTGTCAAAGTGGAAGAACATTTAAAAGACTGATAGAAATTATATTTAAAAATATAGTCGTTGCATAAGCATTAAGCTCCCTAAGTCAATACATGTTAGAAACCCCTTTGGCATCGATTACAGCTGTGAGTCTTCTGGGGTAAGTCTATACGAGCTTTGCACAACTGGATTGTACAATATTTGGCCATTATTATTTTCAATATTCTTCAAGCTCTGTCAAGATTTTGGTGATCATGGCTAGACAGTAATTTTCAAGTCTTGTCATAGATTTTCAAGCAGATTTAAGTCAAAACTGTAACTTGGCCACTCAGGAACATGCACCGTCTTCTTGAAAGCAACTCCAGTGTAGATTTGGCCTTGTGTTGTAGGTTATTGTCCTGCTGAAAGGATAAATTCCTCTAGGATTTTGCCTGTGCTTAGTTCAATCCCGTTTCTTTTTATCCTGAAAACCTTCAGAGTATTTGCAGATGTCAAGCATACCCATACCATGATGCAGCCACCACCATGCTTGAAAATAAAGTTTGTTTGCCACAAACGTAAGGCTTTGCATTTTGGCAAAAAAGTGTATTCCTTTTGTGTTTTTTTGCAGTGTTACTTTAGTGCCTCCTTTCATAGAAGATGCAACCTTTGGAATATTTGTTATGTATTTTACTCTGTCATTTAGGTCATTATTGTGGAGTCACTAACATGTTGTTGATTCATCCTCAGTTTTCTACCATCACAGACATTGAACTCTGTAGCTGTTCTACAATCACCAGTGGCCTCATGGTAACATCCCTGAGTAGTTTCATTCCTGTTCTGCAGCTCAGTTCAGAAGAACGACTGTATCTTTGATGTGTCTGGGTGGTTTAATATATACAGTGCCTTGCAAAAGTATTCACCCCTCTTGGCGTTTTTCCTATTTTGTTGCAGTACAAACTGTAATTTAAATTGATTTTTATTTGGATTTCATGTAATGGACATACACAAAATAGTCCAAATTGGTGAAGTGAAAAAAATAACTTGTTTCAAAAAAATAAATAACATGATCTCATATATATATATATATATATATATATATATATATATATATATATATATATATATATATATATATATATATATATATATATATATATATATATATATATATATATATATACACACACACACACACACACACACACACACACACACACACACCTGTTCTGAAAAGGCCCCAGAGTCTGCAACACCACTAAGCAAGGGGCACCACTAAGCAAGGGGCACCACGAAGACCAAGGAGCTCTCCAAACAGGTCAGGGACAAAGTTGTGGAGAAGTACAGATCAGTGTTGGGTTATAAAAAAATATCAGAAACTTTTAACATCCCACGAAGCACCATTAAATCAATTATTTAAAAAATGGAAAGAATATGCACCACAACAAACCTGCCAAGAGAGGGCCGCCCACCAAAACTCACGGACCAGGCAAGGAGGGCATTAATCAGAGAAGCAACAAAGAGACCAAAGATAACCCTGAAAGAGCAGCAAAGCTCCACAGCGGAGATTGGAGTATCTGTCCATAGGACCACTTTAAGTCGTACACTCCACAGAGCTGGGCTTTACGGAAGAGTGGCCAGGAAAAAGCCTTTGTTTAAAGAAAAAAATAAGCAAACACGTTTGGTGTTCACCAAAAGGCATGTGGGAGACTCCCCAAACATATGGAAGAAGGTACTCTGGTCGGATGAGACTAAAATTGAGCTTTTTGGCCATCAAGGAAAACGCTATGTCTGTGAAGCAGGGGGTGGCAGCATCATGCTGTGGGGATGTTTTTCCCCATCGGCAGGGACTGAGAAACTGGTCAGAATTGAAGGAATGATGGATGGCGCTAAATACAGGGAAATTCTTGAGGGAAACCTGTTTCAGTCTTCCAGAGATTTGAGACTGTGACAGAGGTTCACCTTCCAGCAGGACAATGACATTTTACATTTACGTCATTTAGCAGACGCTCTTATCCAGAGCGACTTACAGTTAGTTCATACATTATTAAATGTTTTCATACTGGCCCCCCGTGGGAATCGAACCCACAACCCTGGCGTTGCAAACACCATGCTCTACCAACTGAGCTACATCCCTGCCGGCCATTCCCTCCCCTACACTGGACGACGCTGGGCCAATTGTGCGCCGCCCCATTGGTCTCCCGGTTGCGGCCGGCTACGACAGAGCCTGGATTCGAACCAGGATCTCTAGTGGCACAGCTAGCACTGCGATGCAGTGCCTTAGACCACTGCGCCACTTGCCAATGACCCTAAGCGTACTGCTAAAGCAACACTTGAGTGGTTTAAGAAGAAACATTTAAATGTATTGGAATGGCCTAGTCAAAGCCCAGAACTCAATCCAATTGAGAATCTGTGGTATGACTTAAAGATTTCTGTACACCAACGGAACCCATCCAACTTGAAGGAACTGGAGCAGTTTTGCCTTGAAGAATGGGCGAAAATCCTAGTAGCTAGATGTGCCAAGCTTATAGAGACATACCCCAAGAGACTTGCAGCTGTAATTGCTGCAAAAGGTGGCTCTACAAAAGTATTGACTTTGGGGGGTGAATAGTTATGCGCACTCAAGTTCTGTTTTTTGTCTTATCTGTTGTTTGTATCCAAAAAAAAATATTTTGCATCTTCAAAGTGGTAGGCATGTTGTGTAAATCAAATGATACAACCCCCCCAAAAATCAATTTAAATTCCAGGCTGTAAGGCAACGAAATAGGAAAAATGCCAAAGGGGGTGAATACTTTCGTAAGCCACTGTAATACACAGCAAAAATATATATTCAATGTCTGATTTGTTATTGTTACCCATCTACCAACCACTGCCCTTCTTTATGAGGCTTTTGAAAAGGTCCCTGGTCTTGGTAGTTAAATCTGTGCTTGAAATACAATATTTCACAGAGGGACCATACAGATGTAGTATGTATGGAGGACAGATGAAGGGTTAATCATTCAAAAATAATGTCAACCCAATTTAACACAGATTCCATGTCACTTATTATGTGATTTGTTAAGGCAAATTATACTCCTGAACTAATTTAGGTTTGCCTAAAGAAAGTGGCTGAATACTTATGCAAGGCACTAATAAATAAATATATATATACAAATATATACACACACACACTACCAGTCAAAAGTTTGGACACACCTACTCATTCAAGTGTTTTTCTTTATTTTTACATTGTAGAATCATAGTGAAGGCATCAACACTATGAAATAACACATATGGAATCATGTAGTAACCAAAGAAGGGTTAAACAAATGTATTTGAGATTCTTCAAATAGCCACCCTTTGCCTTGATGACAGCTTTGCACACTCTTGGCATTCCTCAACCAGCTTCACATGGAATGCTTTTCCAACAGTCTTGAAGGAGTTCCCACATATGCTGAGCACTTCTCGGCTGCTTTTCCTTCACTCTGCCGTCCGACTCATCCCAAACCATCTCAATTGGGTTGAGGTCGGGGGATTGTTGAGGCCAGGTCATCTGATGCAGCACTCCATCACTCTCCTTCTTGGTAAAATAGCCCTTACACAGCCTGGAGGTGTGTTGGGTCATTGTCCAGTTTAAAAACAAATGATAGTCCCACTAAGCCCAAACCAGATAGGATGGCGTATCACAGCAGAATGCTGTGGTAGCCATGCTGGTTAAGTGTGCCTTGAATTTTAAATAAATCACAGACAGTGTCACCAGCAAAGCACCCCCACACCATAACACCACCTCCTCCATGCTTTACGATGGGAACTACACATGCAGAGATCATCCGTTCACCCACACCGCCTCTCACAAAGACACAGCGGTTGGAACCAAAAATCTCCAATTTGGACTCCAGACCAAAGGACAAATTTCCACCGGTCTAATGTCCATTGCTTGTGTTTCTTGGACCCAGCAGGTCTATTCTTCTTATTGGTGTCCTTTAGTAGTGGTTTCTTTGCAGCAATTCTACCATGAAGGTCTGATTCACACAGTCTCCTCTGATCAGTTGATGTTGAGATTTGTCTGTGCCTTGAACTCTGTGAAGCATTTATTTGGGCTGCTATTTCGGAGGCTGGTAACTCTAATTAATTTATCCTCTGCAGCAGCGGTAACACTGGGTCTTCCATTCCTGTGGCGGTCCTCATCTTGGCCAGGTCGCAGTTGTAAATGAGAACTTGTTCTCAACTGGCTTACCTGGTTAAATAAAGGTGAAATAATAATAATAAATGAGAGAGTTTCATCATAGCCCTTGAATGTTTTTGCGACTGCACTTGAAGAAACTTTGAAAAGTTCTTGAAATGTTCCGCATTAACTGACCTTCATGTCTTAAAATAATGATGGACTGTCATTTCTCTTTGCTTATTTGAGCTGTTCTTGCCATAATATGGACTTGGTCTTTTACCAAATAGGGCTATCTTCTGTATACACCCCCCCACCCCCACACACACACACCTTGTCACAACACAACTGATTGGCTCAAACGCATTAAGATGGAAAGAAATTCCACAAATTAACTTTTAAGAAGGCACACCTGCTAATTGAAATGCGTTCCAGGTGACTACCTTATGAAGCTGGTTGAGAGAATGCCAAGAGTGTGCAAAGATGTCATCAAGGCAAAGGGTGGCTATTTGAAGAATCTCAAATATAAAATATTTTGATTTGTTTAACACTTTTTTGGTTACTACATGATTCCATATGTGTTATTTCATAGTTGTGATGTCTTCACCATTATTCTACAATGTCAAGAATAGTACAAATAAAGAAAAACCCTTGAATGAGTAGGTGTGTCCAAACTTTTGACTTGTACTGTATATTATATATATATATATATATATATATATATATATATATATATATATATATATATATACACACACACACACACACAGTACTGCAAACATACTGGTACTTCAATTGGATCTTAGCATTTCAATTACTTATGTTTAAAGTCTTCATTCACCATCCGAAAGCTTGACTATTTCATGCACTTTCTTATGCTTAAAGTTTGAACAAATGCAACCATTCACACAATGTATAATACCATCAATAATTGATTTGCTATAGTTAACTGATTAAGGATTGTCTGCCTTTGAAACCTGGACATTGGAGTCCAAGATTTAAGAGTTAGCACCAGAGAAGGACCTCGGCCCAGCAGCTCATAGCTCGATCTCATATAATGGAGCTGTGTGACAGGTTGAATGAACAAACACAGTATCTATCCTGTACATCTCTTTTACTGGCTAGCTGTCCATGAGGACACATGGAATGTGTAGGGGCAAAACTTATTCTAACCCCCTGAAATTAATGTTTTCATAGGCATTTTTTTTATTCAGATCAAACCAAATACTGTTACACACTGCTGTGAAGGTCATGAGAAAACATCCTAGCATATTTTGTCTAATAACATTTTGGTAGTTCTTCACATTACAGGCTGAGCTAGAAAAGATGGGTCTCATGGGACAGGATACAAGGCAGAAGATTGTTTCGGCCTTATGTCACACCAGGGACCCAATGGACTAAGTAAGTAAGTCATGTTACATCGTGGAATAAAGTGGTAACAACATGGTATAGTTAAAGTTACTCCCAATGACATTATTTATCCAGATTCTGCTGAAATTAAATTATAGTTCCAGGGTAACACACCACAACAACACTGTGATGCAAAACTTGACTGTTGCTATACAAGGTTAGGCAAGCACATGGCACCAATTCTCCAAATATTCTAGCACATACAATAGGTAGACTATGTCAATAAAACTTTTCAATAATGTGTTATGGACAAAAATACTGTACTCTGGTAGTTGGAGACTAAAGGCCACAGACAGGGTGAAGGATGTAAAATTAGTGAAACATTTCAGGAATGTCGGCCTTTCAAAGATGTTTCTGTTTTAGTGGGCACAATAACAGCAGATTCCAAGAAAGACTGATTTCCAATGTAATGTTATATTGTTCATCAATTCCTGTCTGATGTTGTTTAAGTGTGCTTGACATCTGATAGGTCTATGAGTTAAAAAATAATGCAAAAAAAAGAAACTGATTAAGAAAGAGGTGAAAACAACCACATGCCTAAATTAACCTAGGCTCATAATATACTGTTGAAGGCCAATTGGCAACATAGTAAGGAGTTTTCCTAGGAAAACTGCCAACATAATATCCATTCTGAAAAGGTTGTGGGGCAATGGCGTCACAGACAGTCCCAGTCAACTGGAAAAATAAGCTCTAAGTAGGCTACACTGTTGAAACATGTTTATAATAACACATTTGACCTTTTCGGGTTTTAACCATGGTTTTTGAATGCTTACCGAAAAAGTTTCTTTGTTTGGCTTTGTTGGACTGGTTTATATGGCACTATTCTTGGCTCAAAATCTTCCTCGGCATCCACATCCACCGTCGATATCGAATTTGGTCTCCTCGCTCCTTTTGAATTCCCATCTTGGGCCAAACGTATTTCTTCACTTGCTTTCCCGTCGAGGACACAAGATTCCTCTACCCAATTCACACTAAGTAAACTTAAGGTAAATCCCAAAGAAACACCGATAATAACCGGCCCGATCGGCCTCAGCAGAGAAATAAACATTGCAAATCTCATTTTCAACGTTGACTATAGAATACTTCGATCCTTTCTACAGCCTACACTCGCCCCTAATGTGAGACTCTTTGGGTAATTATATACATCAATCCAAATAGAAAATATTAGCAGCTGGTTATATTTAAAAAGGACATCCTTCTCGACTAAAAAGATGTAGGCCTATGTAGCTTCTTCCTAGGAATTAATGCAGGATTCTTACGTGTCAGTGGTCTCTAGCTCCGCCCCAATAAACACCAACGTCAGAAATGCATAAGAATAGGCGTTTCCAGCACTCTTTCTTTAGCCTACTGAATCACAGAATTGGTCAAATAAAACCCATCGACCTCGCCCATGGCTAAATAGATCACAATACTGTGGCCTACATAAATGTTGGTTTAAATAAGGAGCTGTTTTAAAGTAAATCCTTGCTTCAGCTGAAAAGCCTATTACAGAGGTGCGCTGCCACACTAGAGGGCAACCTAGAGTCACAGTCAATCAAACACAAAGTCCAGATTTGCGGGTTAAGACAACAACAACAAAATTGCGCTGTTAATGATTCATGGTTACTTACTATGAATTCATGATACACTGTTACTGTGTGAAATAAAACAAATATTCAGCTGCATGACTGTTCAAACATGCCCTACTACAAGAAGAACTTTGTTTTTCTCTTCTTGACTTGGAAACCTTGGCCTGGTTTTATGTAGGGCATGGGGTGTCACAGGCCTACAAATGCTAATACAATTATAGAATAATTATTATATATTGATTTATCTTCATATGTGTCTGAGAAACTGGCCCTAAGAGGCTAAATAGAGGACTATGAGGAAATGTGCAATTTTAGAGGATAATGCTTTTTGATTGTCACTTTTTTTTGTTGCTCTCAGACTCTGGGTCGTGGGGGATTGGGAGTGGAGTGTACAGCTTGGGTCTGTGAGGTGTGGATAAGTCACCGGCAGGGAATTCGTAACACTATAAGCCTATGCATGAATGGACCTTGTTAACCATTTGGTGCATTGGTTTTAGGATAGAGGAAATTAGGGGTTTTGGGTTGTGCAAAATGCTCTGTCATTGCTATGGACAAGCAATGACATAGCGGCATGGACTAAGATACAGTAGAATATTATAGAATAGAATACAGTTTATACATATGAGATGAGCAGTGCAAGATATGTAAACATTATTAAAGTGACTAGTGTTCCATTTCTTAAAGTGCGCAATGATTTCAATAGGCAGCAGCAGACTCTAATGTGCTAATGATGGCTATTTAACAGTCTGATTGCCTTGAAATAGAAGCTGTTTTTCATTCTTTCGGTCCCAGCTTTGATGCACCTGTACTGACCTCGCCTTCTGGATGATAGCGGGGTGAACAGGCAGTGGATCAGATGGTTGATGTCCTTGATGATCTTTTTTGGCCTTCCTGTGACATCGGGTGCTGTAGGTGTCTTGGAGGGTGGGTAGTTTGCCCCCGGTAATGCGTTCGGCAGACCGCACCACCCTCTGGAGAGCCCTGCGGTTGCGGGCGGTGCAGTTGCCGTACCAGGCGGTGATACAGCCCGACAGCATGTTCTCAATTGTGCATCTGTAAAAGTTTGTGAGGGTTTTAGGTGCCAAGACACATTTCTTCAGCCTCCTGAGGTTGAAGAGGCTCTGTTGCACCTTCTTCACCGCACTGTCTGCGTGGGTGGACCATTTCAGTTTGTCAGTGACGTGTATGCCAAGGAACTTGAAGCTTTCCACCTTCTCCACTGCGGTCCCGTTGGGGGGGGGTGCACCCTCTGCTGTTTCCTGAAGTCCACAATCATCTCCTTTGTTTTGTTGACGTTGAGTGAGAGGTTATTTTCCTGACACCACACTCCCAGAGCCCTCATCTCCTCCCTGAAGGCGGTCTCGTCATTTTTGGTAATCAAGCCTACTACTGTTGTGTCGTCTGCAAACTTGATGATTGAGTTGGGACCCCAGTGTTGAGGATCAGCGAAGTGGAGATGTTGTTTCCTACCTTCACTACCTGGGGGCGGCCCGTCAGAAAGTCCAGGACCCAGTTGCACAGGGCGGGGTTCAGACCCAGGGACTCAAGCTTAATGATGAGCTTGGAGGGTACTATGGTGTTGAATGCTGAGCTATAGTCAATGAACATCATTCTTACATAGGTATTCCTCTTGTCCAGATGGGATAGGGCAGTGTGCAGTGTGATGGCGATTGCATCGTCTGTGGATCTATTGGGGCGGTAAGCAAATCAAATCAAATCAAATCAAATTTTATTGGTCACATGCGCCGAATACAACAGGTGCAGACATTACAGTGAAATGCTTACTTACAGCCCTTAACCAACAGTGCATTTATTTTAAACAAAAAAGTAAAAATAAAACAACAACAACAAAAAAAAGTGTTGAGAAAAAAAAAGAGCAGAAGTAAAATAAAGTGACAGTAGGGAGGCTATATATACAGGGGGGTACCGTTGCAGAGTCAATGTGCGGGGGCACCGGCTAGTTGAGGTAGTTGAGGTAATATGTACATGTGGGTAGAGTTAAAGTGACTATGCATAAATACTTAACAGAGTAGCAGCAGCGTAAAAAGGATGGGGTGGGGGGGCAGTGCAAATAGTCCGGGTAGCCATGATTAGCTGTTCAGGAGTCTTATGGCTTGGGGGTAGAAGCTGTTGAGAAGTCTTTTGGACCTAGACTTGGCACTCCGGTACCGCTTGCCGTGCGGTAGCAGAGAGAACAGTCTATGACTAGGGTGGCTGGAGTCTTTGACAATTTTGAGGGCCTTCCTCTGACACCGCCTGGTATAGAGGTCCTGGATGGCAGGAAGCTTTGCCCCAGTGATGTACTGGGCCGTACGCACTACCCTCTGTAGTGCCTTGCGGTCGGAGGCCAAGCAGTTGCCATACCAGGCGGTGATGCAACCAGTCAGGATGCTCTCGATGGTGCAGCTGTAGAATTTTTTGAGGATCTGAGGACCCATGCCAAATCTTTTTAGTCTCCTGAGGGGGAATAGCCTTTGTCGTGCCCTCTTAACGACTGTCTTGGTGTGTTTGGACCATGATAGTTCGTTGGTGATGTGGACACCAAGGAACTTGAAGCTCTCAACCTGTTCCACTACAGCCCCGTCGATGAGAATGGAGGCGTGCTCAGTCCTCTTTTTTTTCCTGTAGTCCACAATCATCTCCTTTGTCTTGGTCACATTGAGGGAGAGGTTGTTGTCCTGGCACCACACGGCCAGATCTCTGACCTCCTCCCTATAGGCTGTCTCATCGTTGTCGGTGATCAGGCCTACCACTGTTGTGTCGTCTGCAAACTTAATGATGGTGTTGGAGTCGTGCCTGGCCATGCAGTCATGGGTGAACAGAGAGTACAGGAGGGGACTGAGCACGCACCCCTGAGGGGCCCCCGTGTTGAGGATCAGTGTGGCAGATGTGTTGTTACCTACCCTTACCACCTGGGGGCGGCCCGTCAGGAAGTCCAGGATCCAGTTGCAGAGGGAGGTGTTTAGTCCCAGGATCCTTAGCTTAGTGATGAGCTTAGAGGGCACTATGGTGTTGAATGCTGAGCTGTAGTCAATGAATAGCATTCTCACGTAGGTGTTCCTCTTGTCCAGGTGGGAAAGGGCAGTGTGGAGTGCAATAGAGATTGCATCATCTGTGGATCTGTTGGGGCGGTATGCAAATTGGAGTGGGTCTAGGGTTTCTGGGATAATGCTGTTGATGTGAGCCATGACCAGCCTTTCAAAGCACTTCATGGCTACAGACGTCAGTGCTACGGGTCGGTAGTCATTTAGGCAGGTTATCTTAGAGTCCTTGGGCACGGGGACTATGGTGGTCTGCTTGAAACATGTTGGTATTACAGACTCAGTCAGGGACATGTTGAAAATGTCAGTGAAGACATTTGCCAGTTGGTCAGCACATGCTCGGAGTACACGTCCTGGTAATCCGTCTGGCCCTGCGGCCTTGTGAATGTTGACCTGCTTAAAAGTCTTACTCACATCGGCTACGGAGAGCGTGATCACATAGTGGGTCAAGGGTGACAGGTAAGGTAGAGGTGATATATATAAATATGTCCCCCCACTTCTAAAACCAAAGTTGCGCACCTGTTTCTAGGTAACAATTAAGTACCTTACTGTGATTTTTTTTCTATCAAAATTGTAAAAAAAATAAATAAAAAAAATAGCTTCTTAGCAAGAGCAGCTTCTCAAGCAAGATTTTTGCTAGGACTGTCTGGGAGTGGTCTGAGTGGGAAGGGGGAAACTGAAAACTAGCTGTTATTGGCAGAGAGGTTTGGAACTCTCTTTCTTATTGGTCTATTAACTAATTTAACGCCTGGTGATGTCACCAGGCAGGCCAAAACTCCATCCCAACAAAACAGGCAGACATTTCAGGCAGTCTTTTCAAACAGCTCTTAAACTAAAAAGGCATTATCATACATTTCAACATTTCACAGTATTATTCCAACCACATAGTGTGGAAATATATATAAAACACATGAAAATCATGTTTTTGACTGCATTGGGCCTTTAAGGTTATGGTAAGGGTTAAGGTTGGGGTAAGGGTTTAGGGTAGGATTCTGAATAGCACTAACATATTTTGAGTAGACTACCAGAGATACTCTATATAATGACGAGATGTTCTTGTTTCTGCCCTAACAATGGGAGTCGTTGCAAAGACAGGCAAGAGGACGTGAGATCAGGTGGGAACATTCTAGCCACTGGGAGGGCAGATACGCGTGTGTGAACAACAAACACAACTCGGATATAAAGTAGTTTTTCTCAAAGTTGGCAAAATGCCACGTGCGTCCACTTATATCAGTACATTCGTAACAACCTAGATATTACGGAACTTCTATTTGATCAAATAAGCCTCACTTAGCAAATTAGCAATCATGTTTTTATTTTGACCAAATCCGACACTCTCATATACCTTCCTACAAAAAATCCCCACTTGGTCTGATTATCGCTATATTCTCGCGTGGACAGATTTTGATGGGAGTAGAGCCTCGCATCGCTTCTGACGCTACTCAACTCAACCGCTGATTACAAAAGTCGCACTCGCACGCAAAGATCATCACATCAGTTATGGCACTCTGGACGGCCGCAGCACTAGGCTACTGGTTTTCATTCTTCAGGGACTGATTCAGACCTGTGACACCAGAGACCTGTTCAGGGGAGCGCATGACGTTCAGAGAGATTAAATGTAGCATATTGAAAATTATTG